GAGAGAGAGAGAGAGAGAGAGAGAGAGAGAGAGATCAGAACCATACATGATAAGTTTTTGTCATATGGCTCAAGTAGTATGTCAATTATTTTCATTTCTTTGATAAATAGAAAAACCAATTCAAGTAAGGTAAGCTTCTCGTCCTGGAGGAAGAGAGAGAGAGAGAGAGAGATGAGTTCTCTAATTTTCTTCTTTTTTCTTTCGCTTCTGGCTTGCCTTATATCAATTGCAGAGTATTTAAGCTCGGGAATGACCATTTAGCCACCAGGGCATAAAACAGGTTTGGGATTTCTGGTTGCTGCTTCTATGGCTAGGTGAACGACTCCATCTGCGCACATCGCTTACTTTTCTATGATTCAATTGTTTGCCCTGTGTGTGTGTGTGTGTGTGTGTGTGTGTGTGTGTGTGTGTGTGTGTGTGTGCGCTCGTGTCTCCAGTGTTTGCTCGTGGCTTCATGATATAATTTGGGGCAACTGAATGCGTGTCTTAATTTGTCTGCATCTCTAAATTCCCAACTACTGTTGATTGTGCCACCTCTCTTCATTCCATTGTTCATTCTCTGGCGGATCATTCTCGGTCGTGTTCCCCCAACCATGCATAAGGATGTCCTATCATTCTTTCATGGATGTTTGCCCTGTCCTTTCTCTAATCCACATCCTGTGATTCTTGTGATCCTCTTTCAAGTTTGCGGTACTGATGACATCACTGGCCTCTCTGCCTGTTTTGCACTTGCCTCTTACGAGCGCTATTAGCCGAGCATGATGTTTATTGGTCTCACGAGGGTGTCATTGTCATTCGTGATCTAGAACAATCACCTTTGTCTTGTTCCTGTTTTCTTTTTCTGATTCCGTAACCTTTTTCTTTGAATCATGTATGTATGAGGAAACTCATCGGTTCCAAACTGGCAATTGTGAGAGGGATGTCCATCTGAACTTCAAATGGCCGACGTTCAAATCTCAACGAGTCTATGCATAGCATGGTATATTCTTTTCCTATGTAAGCGAGGATATTTTACCTTTTTGAGACCGATATCATCTCATCGAGTAAGTCCTTGTGGGGATTGTTTGTGACTCTCTGGACTCTGTACATTGTCTGCGCATCCACATGACGTACGTTGAATCTGACAACCTTTTGCATAAACATTGTGTGCGCATTGCGTACACATTATTGATGGGGTACTGTGGGTACCTGAATTTGCACACATTCTGAATCTGAGTACATATGAGCTACTACTATGGGGCTCAGCTATATTGTCCTCTTTCCCTCCGTCTGATTCCTGCCCACTTCAGATATAGAATCAGTGCTGCGGAGGTTCTTATCCGGACCTTCTCAATCTAGCGTTGTCATGCGGCTTCTGAGTTCGTCATCTATTTTCACAATGTAAGCATGTGAAAAACACCTCCCTGCCTTGATGGATGAAATCCCTGCTCGATCTGTACTCCTCGCCGGACTGTATTCTGATGGGCAATCTACTGCGTGCTCGATTGTTGGCGGTCATCCCTACTTGCCTACTTCTTTTGCTGGTGATAGGGAAAGACTCATCCTACTGCGTCTAGATCCAAGGCGAAGATCGGTTGGGAGCTCCCCCCTGAGCCTGAGTGCTCTTTCGCGGTCACTTCCTGCATCATCCATCATTCCCTGTCCCGATCCCCTCGATACTCGTGCCCCAACCCCCTCATCATCGTCTGCTACCCCTTCCCTATCATCGTTAACTGCAGGCGGAACAACTGCCTATGTGCATGGTCAGGAGGGAGAACCCATGCATGTCAGTGAGCCGAGCTCACCAATGGGGGAAGAAAATTCACTGCATGCTTCCAGAGAAGCTGGATACAGATCGAATGAGGGAATGGCCAGCACGGATGGCGTTGAGATTGGGAGTGAGGATGTATCTTGTGCAGCCTCAGATGTTGGATGGGAGATGATAGTGCACAGCGAGATTATGTTGAGTGGACCAGTGCTCTGTGTCTGTCCGTACCTGGGCAAGTACCTACTCGCATCTGCAGGGAATAAGGTGAGTTGTAGTGCCTATTTTCGTGTATTGATCGGACTGCATGCACTTCAAAAAGTTGTGGTGCAGCTGAGGCAAACTGTATGGTTTTGCGGCTACTGCTCATTGGTGGGGAAAAAGCGTGGTGTGTGTGCAAGCATCTTGCTTGGCAAATTTGAAAGCACCACTGAGCAGTGACTTGTCTGTTTTTGCATGTGTTTAAGTGAGCAGTCACTCAAAAACTCAGCATCGCTATTAGGCATCCTGCTGCTGCACATGACTTTGTAATGCATGTGCAATAGAGAGCTGCCGTTCGATTCTAGTTGACAAAATGGTGCTCGCTCTGATGCTGAGGAGGAAACGACAGCCGCCTGGCGCCCACTGCGTGGTGAACAATGAAAGCCCACAGTGTGTGTGTGTGTGTGTGTGTGTGTGTGTGTGTGTGTGTGTGTGTGTGTGTGTGTGTGTGTGTGTGTGTGTG